AAAAACTAAAATATCTATGCTTAGTGTATCAAAAATCAATACTCAAACCTAAATTTATTTAATTGTCAAATTCTAGTGATACTTGCAAAATCAATCCACAATTTGTGTGTTACCTAGATATTATTTAAAATTTTTTTAAACACTATTAAATTTTCAAGGAATTAAAAACTATTTAAAATATGCAATTTTAAACTTATGTATTTCAGAACATCTTCAAAATTTCAATATTTTAAACATATTTGTCATTTTTTATGATAATTTTTTAAGAAAGATAATGAGATTTAATCAATAAAATATAATGCATTTCATAAAAAATTACTGCAATGCATCCAATGCTTGGCATAACGCTCAAGGCTAGACAATGCACAGTGACTATTACATTAAAAAAAAAAAAATAGTATGAGCCACAAGGAGTACAAAAAGACATTATTCGTTAAGCTATATACTATTACTATGGCAATGACACAATCTGAAAATGACCTTTTAATACTGCACATAACAACAAATTTGTGATACATGACTTCCGGAGATCTTTTACACTGAAACGGTAGCTTCATAAAATGCTCTGTTCCAGTGAGAAAGACGTACTTTTGTTTATCAGAACCGGATTCAGAAATGCATACATTTTATATGTACACTGCACAAAGAAAAAAAAAGAGGGGGTCAGTTCTATATCTAACGTTTTAATAGGGCGATTGACGAAATTCAAAGTACATTTTTCATTTCTTGAAAGCGTAACTTAAGATAGATATTAGATTTATATATAGCATTGTTCTAACATAGGTATTTTGACAAAAACGGATCTTTTTCTAAAATAACATACCAATTGTTTCCATATTTCAATTTTACGACTCAAATTATGCCCAAGTATTAAATTTTGTAAAATTTACGGAGAAATTCAAAAATCTAGCTTAACACATTTTTACAGTTTGTGCAAAATAATTCACTTGCCGAACTTCTTCATATATGGCAACCTATTTTTCTTTCCCTTCCATTGTGCAGGAACGGAAAGAAAGTCACATCGTTCCTACCTTTTTTTTACCATGTGCATGAGCAAAAAGAAAGTCACATCTTTCCTACCTTTTTTTACCATGTGCATGAGCGGAAAGAAAGTCACACTGCTACTACTTTCAGATAATTTTAACAAATTATCAGATAATTAAACATTAATTTCAAAATGAGCCAATATATAAATTCACTTATATCTTCAGAAATTTTGAATAAAAAACTAAGTTTCAGGTATGCTTAGAAATACATCTACTTCAAGATGATGGTAAAAATGTTATACGGTCAAAAGTCATTAATCCGGACTCATCGGGACTTCGGCGATTCCAGATTATCGAATGTTTCCGGATTTTAGATCATCAGCTTAAATCTGGTAAGATGGCATGCAGAAATTATAAAATTAAAAATATGAAACTGTAATTTATGAAATAAAGAACAATTATGATCTAAAGGGTATCAAGTTTTACAAAAAAAAAGCTTAATATTTATTTGTTTACTTTATTAAACATTTCTTTCAACGTAAGTTGTTTAAGTTGCTTCGTTTTATGTGATAATACTTTCTCTTTAATTTTATAAACAGACATAATTTCTTCTTCAGTTACGAAGTTCTGCTGTTCAAGTCCTATAATTGCTGTGTCGAGAAAACCGACTAATTTGTCAATCGAAATTTTTTCGTTTTCAATAACCTCTGTGTCACTTTCTTCACTATCGGAAGTGAATTATAATGACGACATATCAAAGACGGAGTACATCGAGATGAAATACTACATTTAGTAAGGAATTATAAGCCAAATAAAATAAAAACATCTGCCCTGAAGGTAAGGATAGTGCTGACAGATCAACTTCCAGTTCGTTGCGTGCTCTGCAACGTTCCCCTACCCCTGCACGCAAAGCAGCAAGTGAATTGATAAACAGATTTCGGAATGATTAGAGAAACAAAGTATATGCCTTTATCCGATTTTTTGCAGCAATTCTACTTTTTTGTTTGATGGACATCGAAACATACTTTCGCTTTGTAGATCCTTTGGGAGCTCTAGCATCGGAAATTCCATTTGACATAATCGAAAGTTCAAGCTTACTTTTATAAAATTGCTCTAACAGTCTGCAAAAAATAATAAACCGGATCCAATTCGAAGATTAAGGAACAACGCAATCTGCAACATTAACTGAAATAGATAATTAGATAATTTTAGCTTATACCATCCTTTATACATTAAACGCGCATGCATAAACGTACTATGCGCATGCCCACACGCAGATGCGCAGCCGTAAAGGTCTTACGTGCATGTGTCAGCGCGACGCTTGCGCAGAAAGTTTGTAGCTTTGAGGTCTGGATTATAGATCATTCCGGATTATGGGTGTCTGAATTAATGACTTTTGACTGCAGATTATAATTCAAAATTTTTTTGAAAAATTTACAAAAATTATTTAAAAATACAAATTTTAAAATAAATAAATAAAATGGATGAATTTTATTTGGAATGAACCTGAATTTCGAAATAAGAAAGGAAGAATGAAATAAGTTTAATAAAAGAAGAGAGATTAATAAATATATACCAAACTCGATTAACATTGAGAAGCTAAAATTTTGAGAGGTAATTTTTTTTAAATTACTCGTGCGATTTTTACAAAACTTGGTAGTTTGGCATAATTTGAGTCGAAGAATGGAAATATGGAAAAACATTTGTATGTTATTTCAGAAAAAGTCCAATTGTATGTAAAAAAATCTATATTAGAACAATGCTATATATAAATGTAATACATATACTAAGTCATGCTTTTGAGACATTAAAAACACAAGTAGAATTCCATCTTCCCAGTAGAAAGGGAAATATAAAACTGCCCAACACCCCATTTTTTTTTTTTTTTTTTTTTTTTGCACAGTGTACCTTTACCTACAATCTCTACCATAAGAATTTGATAATTTAGAAACATAAATGACAGTGGCCAGTGCCATACTGATACTTACTTCAGCATTTTGCACATGGTATGCCATGTCAGGATCAATAAAGTTGCATCTGTGGTTAACTTACGAGTGCTCATGTTCAACAACTGTCAATTTATCTCCTAAACAATACAGCAGAGAAAATTCCAAAATTGATATTCATTCTTCTCACTTATTTACAATAACATCATTGTACAGCTATTTATGATATAAACAGCCTAACCATTTTAACTTTTTGGCATATATTTAGTGACTGTCACCCCAATAACAGAAAAGTACCAAAATTTGCAAAGATTCCTGATCTACTAAAATGGCACTGACACATGCAAAGAAATATGGTATTTACATATTACTTCAAGTAGAATGTCCAAGATATATTACCCTTTAGTAGAAGTCGCCAAATCTTCAGAATGCACCAAACTTTGGCTACTATATGCATAACAATTCTTCAAGAAACCACGTGCATAATAGTTCATGTGTTTTTGTAAGCAATGTTGCCATTTTTATTTGTGTTCTTTTTGGTGTATCTGAATGGTTCTTAAGCTCAGTTTAAAATATGCACTTGTGGAATTTGCCTGGTGTGAGAAAAATCCACGGTATAATATTTGCAAAGGTATAGTAATTCTCCCTTCCCACCTCCCAAAAAAATCACTAAATGGAGCAACTGCTTCGAGTCTATTCTCAAAAAGACATAAAATTTTTACCAGTAGAGAGAGGGAATAAAAGTGTTTGCAAGTAAGTTTATTTATCGATTTTTTGCATAAATTATAATGTGCATAATCTAATATATAAAATTGTCATGTCACAATGTTTGTAACAATACTCCTCCAAAACGGCTTGACCGATTTTTATGAAATTTTATATGTACATTCAGTAGGTCTGAGAATCGGTCGTAATCTATTTTTCACACCCCTAAGTGATAAGGGTGGTTTTGGGGGGGGATCTAAATTTTGGCTAAAGTGAAGAATCGCCCACTTATTTGTTTGGCGCTTTTTACAAGAGTAAGAAGAATTGGATTTTTGTCAATTTTCATTCACTTTTTAAGTGAAAACAGGTCGATGTGTACATGGATACCGAGCATGTGCAATTCTTAATTTTGGATACCGAGCATGTGCAATTCTTAAAAATGTGCCACGCAGTGGGCGATTCTGCACTTTCACCCTAAATTTTTTATTTTTATTTTTTTAAGATGTGGCATTAAAAATATACATACAACCCTAAATTTTCTACCTTCTACCACCAACCCCTATTTTTTAATAGCGATATTAGTAATTTAATAATTTTTAACCCTGGTCGATAACTGATCAGTTACCCCCACCAAGCATTTACTACTGTCACTTCTCAACCGGAGTCTATAATAATTATTCCTATTTTATAATAAATTAATAAAATTATTAATTTTGAGTGTAGTTCTCACATTTAGTTAATTACTGATTTCATATAACCTCAAAAGCACCCAACACGGGCCACGAGCTCCTGCCAACAATGCTATTGTGTTCCACCTATAAATTATTCTTATACATTATTGGTTTCTATTTATTATTTATTAATTTGTTTATTATTAAAAGACACAATAATAATATTATAGTCAGTGTGTGCAAAATTTTGTGAGAATCATTTTAAAAGAGAAATATTGTGAAAAGTAGGTAAAATAATAGAAGAAAATACACACTAAATATAGTATATATCAAAGAATAAATAATTATTACTAGTATACTGTTTTTCATCCTTAAGTATTTCTTCTTTCATTAAGTATCTTCGGAAATTTTGAATAAAATGCTCCAATTTTTTTTTTTTTTTTTGCAGGTATACTTAGAAATACATATACTTTAAGATGATGGTAAAAATTTTAGAGTTTATATTTCAAAATTTTTTCCAAAAAATTTATAAAAATTATTTAAATATACAAACTTTACAAATAAATCATAAAAAATGGGTGAATTTTATTTGGAATGAACCTAAATTTCAAACTGTGAAAGAAGGAATTAAGTGAGTGTAATAAAAAAAGATATTACTAAATACATACCAAATTGAATTAACATTGAAAAGCTAAAATTTTGAGAGCCAATTTTTTAAAAACTACTCACGTGATTTTTGCAAAATTTGGCAGTTTGAAATAATTTTAGTCGTAGAATCGAAATATGGAAAAAAATTGGCATGTCATTTCAGATATAATCCACGGTATACCTATACTAGTACAATGCTATATATAAATCCAATACATATCCTAAGTTGTGCTTTAGAGACATGGAAAACACAATTTCAATTTCGTTAACTGGCCCACTAGAACGAGAGATATAGAACTCCCCCCTCCCATTTTTTTGCACAGTGTACATGTTTACATTATACATACATTAAACAAATGCACACATTTCTGAATCTGGTCCTGACAACAAAAGTACTGAGAAAACATAAAATTCCTAGCTGCAGCAATAAACATAACAGTACATTTCATCTAAATGCTATAATAAAAGTGCAATTCACTGTGAAAGATTCAAATCTGTGGATGAGGGAAATGTCAGACTCGTAACATCATCTGATTTTGAAAGTTTCAGGCTTGTAAATTTTTAATCAGCCTAGGGATATGGTATGGTACATAAGGATTTCTTTCATAAAAAAGCAAATGTTGCTTAAAGTCAGCATTTCCCTAAAATGACTTCAGAAGGCTCTTCCATGTAGAAAAAAATAAATGGCTTCTTATACATTTCGATGAAATGATAATTTACACATTTCACAGAATATATCTTTCTGAATGGAAAAGTCCTTACAGCACATAAAAGTAAAGTTTCTTATTAATATATCTACTTCTGAAATGACATGAGGCAATTATAGCTTGAATGCAGACTGTGCTCTTTTATGTACAGAAACAGTTTTCTTCAAATTCTTCTCACCCAACTGAATCCTTACATACTTTATAAGGTTTTTCTCCTGTAGGTGTACATTTGTCTAAATGGCTGTTATAAACCTCACACACGGTATTTATCTTAAGTGTGCGTAAGCATGTGTGTCTCTAAACCTCCCTTTAGTCTAAATGATTTGTTGCACACCTCACATACATGAGGTTTCTCTCCTGTATGAAGAAGCATATGCTTGTTTAAAGTACTACTTTGTCTGAATGACTTTTGACAGACTTCACACAAATAAGGTTTCTGTCCTGTGTGAAGATGCATATGGCTGTTTAAATTATTCTTTCGACTGAATGACTTATTACATACATTGCACACATGAGGTTTCTCTCCTGTGTGGATACGCATATGGAATTTTAACTGAAGTTTTTTTCTAAAGGACTTGTTACATACTTCACATGAAAAAGGTTTCTCTCCCGTGTGAAGAAGCATATGGCTGCGTAAATCATATTTTAACCTAAATAACTTATTACAAATATCACACGTGTAAGGTTTCTCTTCTGTATGAATAAGAATATGCGTGTATAAATGAACCTTCTGTCTAAATAACTTGTGACATACGTCACAAACATAAGGCTTCACCTCAGTATGGGTACGCATATGGATGTTAAATTGCCCTTTTAATCTAAACAGTTTGTTACATACTTCACACACATATGGTTTCTTTTCTGTGTGAACAAGGATGCATTTATTTAAAGTACTCTTATATGTCAATGACATGCCGCATATATGACATACATAACATACTTACCCCTGTAAAGATAAGCATTAATAAGCTGCTTTAATTTAAATTAAGGATTACATTCCTCACACAAAAGGTTTCTTGCCTGAGAAAATATTCATCAGTTCTTTTAAAATATTTTTTTTAAAATGACTTTTTTTACATAAAGTTTCACACTTGTAAATATAAACAATCTTGATATCATATAACTTTCCACATACCTCACGATAACGTTTATATTCTGTACATATATTAAATGGCCTCGCTAATAAGAAATTTTATCCAATATAGATTTTTCACAATAACTTTCGTTATACCATGCCTTAAACGTCTGATTATCTTTACAAAAATATAAAAATATCATAGACTGAGTATTGAACACATCTACTGTTTTATACACATAGCAGAACTTGTTGCAAAATTTCATAAAAAATGCATCTGCTATATATCGCATAAACTTTATTTCTTGCCAGAACATGCACACATCTTTTCTTATTAATTTACGCAGTTACGTCATATACACAACTTTACCGTTAAAGAAAGTTAGATTTTTCTAGAGTTGTTAGAGAGTGCATACATCACACTCAACACATTTTGAAGAATTGTCTGAAACTGCTAAAACCGTTCCGCATTTCACAGTGCGCAATGTGTACAAGAAAAAAGTCATGATTTTCCATAAAACAAACTCAAAAAACGAAACAGATCGAATTTCAAATGATATTTGAAGCCCTTAACAAAGAATTCGTACGATATATTTTGAATAATTACTCGCACAAAAAAATTATATGTGAGGTAACTATTCACAGAACAGAATCTAGCTTTAAAGTATAAATGTTATTATTAGGCAGTGATGCACCCCTTGTGATGATACACCTTTACCACGCTTTGAAAAAAAAAAAAAACGGAATATAATAAGAGTGAATAATTATCACGACTTTGGAACTATGCGCTTTAGCCCACTGCTTGGCGATTTGGAGTTTGCACAAAGAATCTCTAAGGATTGAGCAAATTAAAGAATCCGTTTGGTTTTGCGCTTTTCATTACTATGATTACATTCTCAAAACGGGAAAGTGTACTTTGCCGTGATTGGTTGGAGGTTGTCATTTTCACGCCAAACTGAACACTGGCGCCAAATACGTAAATGTAGTAAAAACACAAATCGTATTCTGAAGATTCCGTCATTTTTGTCGGTGAATGTTTTGATTGCCCGTGCTAATTCATAATTTTGTAATTGTTGTAATCTTGACATCGGGTTAGCTTTCTATGCGCTTTGAATTGTGTTATGTTTAACGTTTTAGTAGTTTAAAATATAAGTACTGTGTGATATTGTACGAATACCTGTGAGAAAAAATTTGGGGAAAGTGCAGAATCGCCCACTGCTTGGCGCGTTTTTAAGAATTGCACATACTCGATATCCATGTACACATTGACCTATTTTCACATAAAAAACATCCCATAATTGCACAAAAATGGCATTGCGCACTTCCTTGGCTTTATCCATGTACACATCGACCTATTTGAACTTAAAAAGTCAAAGAAAATTGACAAATATCCAATTCTTTTTGCTCTTGTAAAAGGCGCCAAACAAGTAAGTGGGCGATTCGGCACTTTACCTTCGTATGCACGCAACAATAATTTTACTTTAAATCATATTTAATTCATATGCAGTCCTAGCCGTAATGACCACTTAGGACGTCGAAAATAATAATAACAGGTCTGACACATGTAAAGCCAAATAAAAAAAGTAATTTATAATCCCACCCATTTCAAAATTCACATATTAATCCACATTAATTAGAAATCATATTAATGTGATATATGTAGCAGATGATTTGCGTGCACCGAAGTGTTAAAAATGCTAATGAAAAACCTCATGAATGTGATATCTCTCCTGAGTGGTTGAGAATTGCAAGTGAATTAAACAAACACATAATTAATCACAATAGCAGCAAACCACATGAAGATATATGATATATCTATGAATAAATAAACATTAATTTTAAGAATCTTTGGTGATTTATTCATTTGCATGATACTTTGGAGTTACCCAACTCTTTAAATGAACTAGTTGATATCATGATATATATAAAGTGGTACTGGTATGCTTAATTTGTTTTGCATCATGAATCTTGTGTGCAAAGTTGCTTTTAAACAAATCTTTCATAACTTTTTAATAGAGATAAAATTATGCTTTCTTTATTTTTGCATGCACATGATTTGACTATCCTCAACCTAAAAGCAATATTTGCAGTCATTTCTTTGTTTTCTATTTTCATTGTGTTTACGTATCTGAATTATTAACTTATGATAATTATGAAGCTGTGGATTAATGCAAATTTATTTGGGGAAGGCTAATGATTAATGGCAAAAGCATTTCTAAAAATTCCCATGTCATGACTTTGCATGTTGTCTCTTACAAGCACAGCTATGTTTATCCTAGGTGCCATGGACCTAGGTCTACATTTTTAAGTGGGACAGCATACAAATTCATAATTTTTTTTTAAAACCATGTCTCTGCATAAAATCAAAGATACATCTGCATAATGCTTTTCTATCATTCTGAAAATGTGAACAGGCAAAAATAAAAACACTGAGATTCTAAGAAAAATAACTCAACTGACTGGAAAGTATAATCCCAACGAAAAAGAAGAATGGAAAATTTTCACTATTTGAAACCTATACCAACAAGAGGTAAGAAAATACAGACCAATAAAGCCTTTGGCACTGCAGCAAATTGCCGTAGAGAGAGCAGGAACTTTCATCCAACTGACAAAGGATACCACGCATTGAAAAATGCTTGAGAAAATATCATACATGAACATATTTCATTTGTATAATCCTTTTACACGTATTTTTTCGTTTATTTCCACAGAATAATAATGTTCAAACAGTTTCATAAAAAATGCTGATTTTGAATTCTTTTTATGGACAAATAAGTTTAATTTTAATCTTTTCTTTTTTTTTTTTAATTTACTTCTGGCAATAGATATTGATTGTTTTTATGCATGGTGCCCAGTACGTATACTTAATACTGATTTACTACCAGAACATTTTTAGTTGGCAATATAAATTAAACAAACAAATATGAGAAAATTTCAAAGTACATGAATTTTACAGTTTGAGTCCAAGTCCTTTGGGTACTTACAGTTTGAGTCCAAGTGTAGAATGTTGTTATGAGTTATTTCATATTTGGCAGTCAACTTGTCAGCCAAATAATTTTAGAGTTAATATAACTAAGCAATTCATTAGTATTTAAATATGTGTCTCTCTACATGCTTTTTTGGTGCAGTACTCTGTACAAAAAATGCTGTTCTGCTCTTAAGTTTTTTTTTTTTTTTTTTCCACTTGCCTATAACGGCTGCTCACTGCTATGAGCCCTTTCGTATTGCAGTCAGGCTTCCCTAACCACTGTACTGTCTGGGCCGTGGAGGCTAATCTCCATGGTCTGGGTGGCTCTGCTCTAAAGTAAACTTGAGAATTGCTAAAAGTTACATGGTTCAGTTAAAATTGTGGTGTTATTTGATATATTATTTCTTGTGTAATATTTATAAAATTGTTTGGAATACTGTATTGTGAATGATATAAATATTAAAATATAAAAAATACTTCTTATAGCTTTAATACTTTTTTGCAAAATGCATTCATTTTGCATCATGCTGCTATATGAAAAAATGCCCTCATTTAAAAATTGTTTCATAACTTTTTAAAAATTAGCCTATGATTCAACATAATTGATTACCATGCCAAAATTACCATTACCTGAAAAATTTATATATATAGTAAATAAATGACTAAGTAAATGCAAATGGTGAATACTTTTATTAGTGTTTCTACAAGTCCTAAGTTATAAATGTTCTTATAAACCATAAGTTATATTTTTATAAGTGTTTCTGTATAAATTTCAAATAATTTTATGTGCATTTGTTAGTTTATATAAATACAATGCCCTCAAAAAGATACATGTAAGTTTTAGTTAAAGAGATTTCAGTTTAAACCATTTATTAATGCACTGAAGTGCAGTAAAAGAACATACTGCATGTTAAATTTGCCCTCAAAAAGCATCTATCAAATTCGCATTGCATACGCTTCACAACAGAAAAACACAGTATTGACTTCCTATTTCAACTGCATCTGAAGTAAGTACTAGAAAAAAAAAAAATCTTTCCACTTCCAAAGTTTAATCTGACTTTCAAAGTCCAGTACAGCATAAAATAATCAGCAATCCAATTTTCTGTTCATATAGTGTAACATTAAAATATTTTATGGCAAAACATGTTGTCCTAGAGGTATGCTATCTTAATACTTCTTTTAACTGTGAAATTTACATGGCTGAATTTTTAAAATTTGTAGATGACTATTCATTAAAAATGCTATCATATATACTTTCCTAGTCATTTAGTGGCCAACAAGTTAATAAATTTGATAGGAAGCTTACATTAAATCCAAGAAGTTTTCAAATTTGGCATAAACATTTTTTAAACTTGATATTATTGGCTACTACAATGCAGTTGAGTTCTGAAATAAAATCATCTGAAACACTTAAAGTTCACTGTACATTGTCAAATTATGCAATTTAAGGATATTTTGTGAATGGGCACAAGAATACTGGAAGAAATTAAGGATATGGATATCTAAACAGATTTTAGAAATAAGAAGTTTAAAAAATAATAAAAGCTGATTCAGAACATTTTTTCAGAAAGAATAAAGAAATTATTTTAATATGAATCCATTTAATTGAATGCAAAAATATTTTTAAGATTCCATTTAAATATATTCATTCAAATTAAGTCAAATTTTATTAGACATCAAATTTATACATCACATATTGGTTTTTATTAAATATAATGTATAAAGTAAAGCCATATTCTTTATATAGTTACCTAAAATAGCATTAATTATAACTAAATAAAATTACAATATAATAATTACTCATATAACACATATGAAAGGCAGCTTCACACCAAACATTAAAGATATTGAAATGTTTGTGTCTTTATACTCTTGTAGCAAGCAAGCTGATTTAAG